GAAGGCAACACCTGCCTTCTGTCAGAGGCCTCTCAGGAGAGTGGCCCACAGGGGCAATGCGGTGCCGGCTGGTTCAGAGGACTGTCTGTCCACCCCCAGGATGAGAAGGAAGGGCCTCTGCAAAGACAGAACAAATCCCCACACGTCAAGCCGCTAATTTAGTGAAGACTGGTGAGATTCTCATGCTCCCCCTCTATAGCAAAACTTCTATACTCTCAGTGATTCGCAGCCTGACGCCTGATGCCGTTAGCTGCCTTGCTTCTCCCCAACTGCCCAAACGGCCTCCTTCCTGCTTGGAAGAGAATTCTGCCGATGAGCTTGTACCCCCGAGAGACCAAGTAATCTGCAGCCTCTCTCTGCTGTACATGGAGGGAGCAGTGCATTCTGGCCCCGTTTCTGGTCAGACATGTTACTGGGAGGATGCGTCTCCTGAGACGTTACACCATGGTTCCTCTGGTGAGAAAGAACACAGAGTAGTGCACAGCTCACCTGCTCCCCAGAAATGCTGGGGGGGGGGGTGCCACAGGGGAAATCGCTTATTGATTGTGGCCTGGCGAGTACAGCTGTCCATCTGCTTTAGCCTCACTCCCTTGACTATCTGAGAACTATGACCAGCACCCTAACCCCTGCCCTAGGTAAACCCTGCTGCCCCAGGAACCCAACTCCCTCCTCCAGGAACAGGGCTCTCTGGGACCTGGCTTTTCCAGCCCTACTCAGGGATTTGGGGGAAGGCTGGCTGGTGAAAAGGGAAATGAAGATGTCCCCCTCACCCTGGGCCTTTGAAACTCAGGACAAAGCCTCCCCATTTTCCCAGAGGCTCCTTCAGCCCAAAATTTGTTAGCCAGCCTCCTAAACCAGATAACCTATAAGTACAGGGGATGGAAAGTTTGAGCTAGACTTAAAAACAGGTTGTTTCAAAGACCAAGTGCAATTTGCTCCACAACATAAATCAAAGGCATGTTAGAGTTCCAGACATCCCCAGGCCCCAGACACCCTTTCACCCTTTCCAGTGGTGGTTGGTCAGGCCACCACTGGAGGACGGGTGGTGCCCATTGTCCCCAGTTAGGTCATAAACTGTCTTCTTGGTGTCTGGGAAAGGACAATTCCCCCTTACTTTTTGGGGGGTTTATACACAAGTGAGGAGACAAGAGCTGATATTTTGGGGACCTGATAGAAAAGCTCAAAAATTTTGAAATAAACAAAATTGAATATCTGCTTAATGAGCTGACCTCCCAGCCTCTCTTTGTTTGCTAAATCCTTGCTTTTCCTCTGACAATCTCCTTTCTCTTTTCCTCAAGTGGTTCTTTGTAAGTCTGGAGAGCAATGTGCCTTGTGCTAATGGTTTAATAAAATGTGCAACACAGAGAACTGCAGTCTTTCAAAATAAAGCAAGTCCCAGCAATCATTTTGTATTCTTGTCTTACCAGGGAGAGATGGTGGCCCCAGCTCCTCAGGCAAACAGGAGCCCCTGGCTCCCAGATACCCCCATGGGGATTTCTGTATTCACTTCATCCTTACAGCTGCAGTGTTGCCCGTATCATGTTTTCCAGCAAGTGATCAAACGCAAATAAATTTTTTTAAAAGATTTATTTATTTGTGCATACAGAACTGGGGTACAAGCCAGAGACTTAGGGGCGGTAAGAGGCTTCACCAGAGACAGAGTGGGGAGCAGAACAGGAAGATCAACGAAGTACACTGCTGAGGGGAGCAGCAGGCGGGTCAGGAGAGGTCTACTGCACCATGTGGTCACCTCTGGGGCAGGTGGGGATCAAACTCATGCAGAAGTGGCTTTAGCTTCTTAGTGCTGTGCTTTAACCCACTGCGCCACCAGGGAGGGCTCGCAAATAGATTTTTTTTAAAAAAAGCATGACTGTCTCTCATTGCTCTGGGCAGCAAGCTCTGCATTAGGCCTGCAAACAGCATACTTTGGTCTGGTTTGGGGTGACCAGATCACGTGATTTAGAGCCCCTGCCATTCCTGTGCAGAGAGAGCACCGCAGCTTCCAAAACACCCCGCTTCCAAGGTCATTGTCTGACTATGGGGATGGGAGGGGGTCATACCTCTACCACTAAGGATGAGAAGCAGAAGCCAGGACCAAATGCATCATGAGATGGGCTTTAAAAACCATTGTTGGGGGCCCTCCCTGGTGGTGCAGCAGGTTAGGATGCAGCACTGCAAGCCAGCCGCAGTGGCCTCAGTGCAAGTTCGATCCCCCACCCTGGAGGTGACCCACATAGCGCAGCAGACCTCTCCTGACCCACCCGCTGCTCCCCTCAGAGTGTACTTCATCCATCTGCCTGTTCTGCTCCCCACTCTGTCTCTGGTGAATCCTTTTACTGCCCCTGCACCTCTGGCCTGTACCCCAGCTCTGTATGCATGAATAAATCTTTAAAAAAAAAAAAGACCATTGTTAGATGTCAGTTTTATCTCAGTAAAATTTTAAAACAGGGCCCTTCCTGGTGGCATAGCGGGTTAAAGCACTGCACTAAGAAGCTTAAGCCACTTCTGCATGAGTTCGATCCCCGCCCACCCCGGAGGAAAACCACATGACGCGCCAGACCTCTCCTGACCCGCCCGCTGCTCCCCTCAGCAGTGTACTTTGTTGATCTGCCTGTTCTGCTCCCCACTCTGTTCCTGGTGAATCCTCACCCTCCGCATCTCTGGCCTGTACCCCAGTTCTGTATAAATAAATAAATCTTTCAAAAAAAATTTAAAAGTTAGCAAAAAAGAAATCATTGTTTGTGTTGATGGATGTCACGTGATAGGGATACCTCAGAAGAGGCATGAAAAAGCCAAGAAGGAAATCCACCAAAATGTGGGAATGACTGGTTATTGGAGCTTTTCCTTCTTTCTTTGTATTTGATACAAATATAAATGCACAAAACTTTTAATTTTTTATTATTGTTAATTTTTATCATTACAGAAACTTTTATAAACTTAAACAGTTACCTTGGGGAGGTGGGTCAATGGTGTAAAAAGGGTCAATTATATGATGGAGTTTCAGTGGTGACCTTAATGTAGTACTTACAGATATTGTTTTATAATGCTGTACACCTGAAACCTATATAGTAGTAGAAATTGATGTCATCCAATAAAAAGCAATACTTCAGAAAAGTTATCTATGGAAGTTACTTTCCTTCCAATGCCAGCAAGCAGGCACCGCCAGGGTGAGTATGAAGCAGGTCCTATCAGTCCTAACTCTGCCAGTCCACTTCAAGTTCTATGATCACAAGCAAACACCTTTATTAATTTTTAGGTGTTATTAGCATTAGCAACATTCCACATGCAGGACACAGCTAAACCACCTGGGATCACCCCAATATATTACCAGTGATGACTTGCTCCTCCAGGCATTACCATTGAAGGCCGTTGCACTCCTGGAATGCAAGACTTTGTACACACTCAGTACTGCACAGCCTTCCCTCAGGGGTATAGCATCAGTGATAATCATTCGTCCAAAAAGAAGCCCTCTGAAACACATTTGGGCCTGGCACTGTGTGTAAGCAGGCATTTATTTTTCCCTGCAAAATCCCCTAGCCCCTGGCTCCAACAGGTGCATGTGCTCTAAGTTTGAATCAGAGAAAGCTAAATTTCTTAAGTGTTGCCAACTTAAACTTTTCAAAGGATCCGTCTGGCAGCAGGAGGTTCTTCCTGCGCTTTGCGCAGGGTTCTGCTCCATTTACTCCTTCAGGGGCACACTCAGCGGGATGACGCCTGTGGGTGTTTACTATAGCGTGCCGCAGCCAAGGTGGTTATGCCAGCAGGCTCACTGTGCAGAGTCCTACGCGCAAGTCCCCCCACCAAGGAAAACAAAAAGGTTTAAGCAGCAGAAGGTAAAATATTAATGAAACTTGGGCATAAATGCAGCTGAACTGTGTCACTGTACCTCAGTCTAATCAAGGGGGAAATGTTTTTAAAAGCTGATAGATGTGAAACAGAATGTTTTCATTTCAGAAGAGTAACTAAACTCATACGGTCCTCGCTCCTGTTTTTCCTGCTCATGCTCCCACAATGTCTAGAGAACTGTCAAAGTGGCACCCACAAGACAAACCAGCCTGAAGAGACAGCTGATAAATCCACAGGATTTTCCCCTTGGAAAAATAAGCACTGCACCTTTGCAGTGGCAGGTGGAGCACTGTACCCCTCCTAAATACAGTTGGCCTGCCCAGGGTGAAATCAAGATATGCTAATCTAAGGGGAAAAAAATTAGGGATGATATCCCTAGATTCTTCTTACAGTCTTTACTGAAGGGACTTAAATGCCTTTTCCTCTGTAAGTCTTGAAATGGGACTGAAGTGCAACAGTCCCCCGAACTCAGATGTGGGTGGGGAACACGCAACAGCAGAAAGCAGATGCTGGTCCCACTCAGGATTGCTCACTGGGATTTGTGTAGCTGCTGCCTTCCCACTTTTCAGACCTTTCAAGTTCTATCCCAGCATGACAGTGCGATGACTCACGTAAATGCAGCCATGCCTACAGGGTTTGATGCCTGTGACATTGCTGTAAGCACCATTTTTTTTTTTTTTTTTAAAGAGGAAAAAGATTCCTGAGAGCAGTCTGCCACCATCCTGGGGGCCCACAAAGGGCAGCGCCTGCAGAGGGCAATGCTCTTTGTGCAGGAAGGTTGCCTGCATCCTGCAAGCTGTTCTGATAAGCAGCTGTCGAGGGAAGGGGGCGGGAGGAGAGGAGGAGGGGGAGGGGGAGCTGCTGTTATCAGGTTGGAGGGCCAGCCTTCTGGGATTACCCTCAAGTCTTATCTCAACTAAGCTCCTGTCTTGCAAGTTTGAAAATCTTCCCAAATGGAGAAAAGTAAAAGAAGGATTCAAGCTCTACCCTACAGCCAGCCAGCGAACCCAGCGACTTCCAACACCCCAAGATTCAGTGACAATAGGATGAAACAGGTGCCACGAAATTTCAACAATTCTCTAAAATCCGCTACTAACCACCTCCCCCACCGAGAACTATTCCCCACCCTCAATAAAGGAAAAAAAAAGTTGGCTTCAATAAGTTTATTGTGCAATTCAAAGCTTCAACTGCAGCATCCTCTAGAAAAAAAATCGAGCCTCCCGGATCTGCTCTGAAACAGCAGTGCAAGCTGCTAAGTCCGTCAGAGATCCTGTAACCCAACTCCAGGCCGCCTCGCTTGGCCTTTTCCCCTCCTTCCTGCCGGGAGCGCCGGCTGCTGAGTCACGCTTGCCGGGCCAGTCCGTCCTTCACTGCCGGGCGGCCAACGTCCCGCCTCCGGCCTTCCTGGGACAGCAGCCGCTCCCCCACACTTGTAGAGTCCTAGGCTCGGGGTCAGCCAGTGTCTGACGCTGACGGCCCCCTCCTCGGGAACCGCACCTCCTTGCTGCTCGCTCTCCACGCGCCACCCGCCTGCCAGCCTCCACGCCGCACTCCGGCGCCCTCCGCGGGCGCATCCACAGAGCCAGCCGCACGCTAGGCGCCCCAGGGCGTCACAAGTCGATCAGACCAAAGATCCCCCTGGGCTTTCACTCGGGGAGGGTGATGCTGGGCACCCAGTCGTTGACGCTGCGGCTCTCTTCGCAAAACAGGCTGAGCTTCTCCAAGGCCGGGTCTTTCCAAGCGTCCTCATTGGGGTTCTGCGGGGAGAGCGCAGGGGTCAGCCTGGCTGGCCGCTGACCGCTGGCCGGGGCAGCAGTAAAACGCGAGGAAAGAAACTCACCGAAATGAGGATGCAATGCAGGTCTCCCGGCGCTCCCGCCTCGTCGCCAGCGCCCACGATGGCCGCCAGCCGCTGCACGTCGCCCACGCGCACAATGTCGATGTCGTTCTCGCAACAGAACGCTTGGATCAGAGTGAAGTGGATCTGCAGCGCGATGTCGCCCTCGTCCTCCTCGTCGGCCGCCAGCACGCAGAAAGTCACGTTGTCTGGGTCGCTGAACAGGCAAAGGAAGGGGTGGTGAGGTCAGACCCGAGAGCCAGGGCACCCCGCGACCGCCTGACGGCTCCCCCGCCACTCCGCCCGCCTCCCCACCCCAACCGCAACTGTACTCACACGTTCAGGACTTTGGCTGACTCGTAGACTCCGGCGGTGAGGCAGCCCTGGCGCTGCGCCGACAGCAACAGCTCGTGCAGCGCTTTCCCGGCGCCCTGCATCCTGCGGACCAACCAGAGCCGTCAGCCGGGAGAGGCAGAGGACACAGCAAGATCGCCAGCCTCAGAGACGCACCCCTGGCACCCCAGTTCGGCGACCCAGTCTAGGGACGCAAAACCAGCGCTCCTGCCCGGCGCCCCAACCTCGGGGACTCAAGCCCAGCGCCCCAGTCCTCCGGCACAGGCGCGCCGGCTTCTTCCCCAGAGGGAGCCACCCCGCGGGGAGCCCGAAGGCTGCCGCCTGGACAGCTGTGACCAGATCAGGCTCCCCACAACCCAACACGTCCAGCACCAGGAGCCAGCCTACCTGGCGGTGCTGTCCGGAACCGCGTCCAGTCCACGGACTTCTTCCAGAGTCATGATGCAGTCCGCGAGCAGCAAGTTATCCACAGAGGAGAAGGCGGAGCGGTCGCGAGCGGAGACTGGAAGGTTTCCCGTGACACCGGTCGCGCGCCCAGCTAGCGAGTGCTCCTGGCGCCGCCGCGCGCGCCTTTATAAAGGCCGGGGCGACCGCGTCGCCAGCTGGAGCCAGGCTGCGCGCCCATTGGCCAGCACCGCTTTCTGATGCAAATGAGGCGGCGGCCGGCGGCTCGTGCCAGAAGGCCACGTGGGGAGGGGTGCGGGGGATGACAATGCCTCAAATCTGCCTCTTTTGTCGGGGTGTTACCAGGCAGACTGGAGCCTGCAGATTTCATCTCGCTTTTTTTTTTTTAAGTCCTTAAAAGGAAAAAAAATTATAAAGAAAGAATTTAAAACCTGGTCTGCTTGTACAAAGCTGCAGTTTGTGAAATGCACCTTTGGAGACTCGAAAAGAAGTTATTTTGCCTTTTTTTTTTTTTTACTTTTCTATCTTTACTTTTAATTGGGAGTTATGACACTTGTTTTTAAACCGGAACGTAAAGTAAAAATACGCAAAGTTGGCTTTTCACTTGTGAAAGGCATGGCGAAGTCCCCTCTAGCTGACACCGGCCCGCGAGGACTCTGCCTTGGCCTCCAGGCCACCGGGAATCTCAGACAGCGCTGGAAGGTCAGAGCCCTGGTCCAAACGGGCGGCGGCTGGGCGCTGCGGGGCGCCCGGCTCGCAGGCAGATTGTGGCCGGCGCACGCGGCTCGTTTGCATTTCTATGGAGGGCGCACAATAGCTGGGGTCTGGCGTGTGGCGGTTTGCAGAAAGACAATCGAGGCTTTCTCTTCATAGCGACACTGTCCACCTGCCGCCTGGTGGGGTGGGTAGGGCCCCGCCGCGCGTGGGGGTTGTCGTGCTGCCCAACGCGTGGGGGTATGGGCCACGTGCACCCTTGCGCCCCTGGGCACATGCCCGTGAGCGGGCCCCAGCTGCACCCAAGGCTTGTTGATATATAATTGCACCACACCCAGACTTCTCACAGGTGCCCAGGCGCCGAGCGAGTTGTAAAGATCACCCGCTGCCATGCTGTCTAACGCGGGCCAGAGCGCTCACTCTGGACTACTGCCGCTCAGTTAGGAAAAGGAGACGAATCTCCTTTCCAGGGGCGCCATCTACCCGCCAGAAAAAAATCCTTCCTCCCCTCCCCTCTCCTGCCATCCTACCCCCACTTCCACTGGTCTCCAAAGAGTTTGGCCTCTAGCCCTCTGGTCACAGAATCTTGGCCGGGTCTGCTGAGCCCTGGCCAAGCGTGCATTAACGGCTCTCAGAGTAAAGGACTGCAGACCTCACGGGAGGGCGAGGGGGCGTGAAAGGAGACTGGTGGGGAAAGAGCCCATATTCCTTATGCTGTTTTGACATTTTTTTATTTACTTAAAAGGAGACTGGGGAAAAGAGCCCATACTCCTTATGCTGTTTTGACATTTTTTTATTTACTTAAATATGCATGTATGAAAATCTTGTACTTCAGTAAGGAAATCATAAAACTGGCAGCGAATTCGAGAGTGTGATAGATATCGTGGGCTGTAACCACTTGGGATCTTTTGACTGGTATTTTCAGAAGGCTTGCCCGCTATGCGCATCACTTTGGTGTCTATAGCAAAGATTCAGGAAGACGTGCGCTGAGGGTCACTTTCTTTACCCCCTTTTCCCGGAAGAATCATTAAGGGCCGGATAGTGGGCCTGTAGGCAGAACAAGGAGAATACGCTGGAAGCCCAGGCTCTGATGCAAGACTGGGGAAAGAAATAGTGAGAAAGAAATGCGTTTTTCTTTTTACTCAGCTTTGTTGGGGGCGGGTTGCTGGAGGGGAGGCCATGCAAGCATTTCCTTCTTAAATGGAAGGATCTATTCTGACTTGGTGTCACACCTTAGTGCCAGCCAGAGGCCAAATTCAGAAGCTGGTGTCTCGCGCCTCCTGGTGGCATGCTGGCAGAAGACAGAACTGCTGATTCTTAGAAGCCCATCTCCCCTCCGGGCTGTCATTACCTCCAAGAACAGGAAACATCCTGCCGCTTACTGTGCTAGTTTGCTTACTCTCTTAATGGTGTCTGAACGGATGGTGTTTCTTGATTAGATAAGATGTTGGTTTTCTAAGCGACTGAGGCTTAGATACTGCTCTTTTTAAAATGTTAGACATTTCTTATGAAGAATTTATTCCATGAGCCTCAGGAAATGTTGCAAAGATTTATTTGACATCTTAGCAACATCTCACTGTCTAACACTAAAAAGTCATTCCCACACCAGATGGGAAAAGGGCAGACTGCAGCCTCAGCCCTTCACCCTGGAGGAAGTTCCCCCACTTGTTGGGGGGGGGGGGCGGAAAGGCAGCATTTTCAGTTGGCACAGGGCCAGTGCAGAGGAAAGGGGAGGTGATTGACACCCCCTGGGGCTTTTCTACTTTGCTCACATTTTTAAGGTATTCAGTTTCAGGAAATCGGCTTTCTGACATAGGATATGGCTTCACAAGAGGGTTATTGGATCAGTCTGAATGGCCCCAAAGCCCTCATCTCAATTAGGAAAGAAACATTTTATCTAGAGGTTTAGTTCCCCTTTCAGCCCTCCATCTTCCCATAGTTGAGGCAAATGCAGAAACCATGGGGTGGGTCCGGGGAACTCTGTTTCTCACTGCTGGGCAGACTGTAGGTGGGGAGGGGGCAGTATAGCACCCCTTCCTGGGTGCCCAGAGATTAAAACCAGCAAGTAACATATCAGAGTGCTGAGTTGTCCTCCTCCCCTGTGCCCCCCAAAACTCACTAAGCCTGGGGCTCAACCTGCATTCCCCCCCCCAAGTGTTGGGAGGTTGTGATGTCACACCTAAACTTTTCAATGAGCCATAATGATACAGGTGATGGTGACCTTATTAAAAAGAAATCCTCGGAGACCCTGCATTTGAAAGATCTGTCAGAGATGCCATGACTTTGCCATTCTATTAACATTGTTGGAAATGCACTTCTCTGTCACTGCTGGCCTGGCCAGAGCTGCTGTTCATTTGTATGTGGAAGAAGCAAGCCTTCTGGAGCAGTCAGCTTTATGATACAGTCCTGTTCCAATTTCTCCAGGTGAATTATTTCTGCAGTGTGCACAGAAGTGTTATGGAATAGCAGGTTCCGTCTCCAAAGACATATCCGCCCCCTCCCCGCCCCCACCCCCCAAGAAGCTGCAGAGCACAGACAGTTGCTCAGAGCTCCCAGGCTGGTTCTCCTGGCTTTCAACTGTCCTTGGAAAAAGTCAGGGTCACTACCACCTTTCAAAACCAGCATTCACAGAAGAAAGGGATTTGGTCATTAAGTAACTGCACTCACTGCCTAACCATCAAATAGGGGTGTTGGGACCCCCAAATACTACTACTCTCAAGTTGACAACAGTCCGCACCTGAATCCTTTGAGGACACCTCCAGCTTTGTTCATTTGCATTAACTGCTTGTATGTAGCCTGCAGGCTTTGCATTGACAATCCTTGAAAAGAAACTGAAGTTTAAAAGGCAAACTAAAGAGAACATGTTCTTAAAGATGAGCTGAGCTCACTTCTGTCCCAGATTCTTCTGCAGGGCCAGCTCTCCAGTGTGAACACAGGACTCTGGGAGTAGTCTGGCTTGGACGCTTCCCAAATGCGCCCTGTGTCAGTCTCACCCACTTCCTGTCCCCACGAGTCCCTCCTCCACCCCAATGCCCATTCCCTTCTCCAGGCAGGACAGACCATCTTGGATTTCAAAAAGGGTGGTACTGGTTTCAAAAAATAATAATACTAATAATAAAAGGGAAAAAAAACATGGATGACAGGATGGGCAGCGAGGGCTGCAGCCAAGACTGCGTTAACTCAAACGGGAAGCCAAGCGGGACGCGCACTCACCTGGAGCCACCAGTGTCCCCTCAGACGCCCCCAGCATCTGCACCCCAGTGTCTGCCAGGCACAGAATGGCGCGCGGCCCCTCACCTACCGGCACGCCAGACAGGGCCCCTGCCCACCCCCGCGTGGAATGTGAGGTCTGTGGAGGGGGGCAGCTGACACCGGAAACAGGAAACAGAACGGGAAACCCCCAGGCAGCACCACCGGACATCTGCATCTGCGGTCAGCCCAGTGCCGGAGGAAACGTTAGCGCAGTGCGGTCCTCGGAGCTCATGCGTGACAAGGAGGCAATGCAGGCGGTCAGCACTTGGTGCTTTCATGGGTAAGAAACGATTTGTGACACTATCATAGCCGTAGGCACTTGCAGAGAGTCCCTGAGAAGCCAGATGTGCCCCCTCCCATAATGGTCTTGTGCCCCCCACCCCATGCCTCGAAGATCTGCCCTTTGCCCTTTTGGGAACCCCATAGGGATTCTCTAAAGGTCACGCCTGGTCACCATTTGCCTCACACTGAGCTTGGTGGACAGGGGCCTAAAATGACTAACAATTTCAGATCTGGTTTGTTTGTGTACACAGGAACGGGTCTCATAACCGTCCTTGTCACCCTAGGGATGTCCCAAATGTCCCATCAGGCCCACTGGGCCCCCACCTGGCTCCCCAGGCGTTTGAAGTTGGGGTAGATTCCTTCCTAGCATACAGGGAGCTGAGAGCCTTTTCCAGAAGTGGTAATGTGTAATGGGGTAAGACAACCACAGGACTTCCCAGCTGAAAGCTGCGCTTGTTATCTGCTAAAAGATGAGTTAAGTGTCTGTTACTCCCCAAAAGGCAGTGTGATCTCCAAGGGTGCAATCAGCAGAGCCGCTCTGACCCTGAGCAAAAGGTTAGTACAAGGCAAAAAAGGGCCCAGACTTGTCAACCCTTTAAAGCTGTTTCCCTTAAGTTTTCCCAAAGAAGAACTTAAGAAAAATGTATACTACAAGGAAATGTCTCATCTAAGAGGCAAAAAAATCAGAAGCAGACGAGTATTAAAATCCTAGTATAAGAAATGCCATAAAATGAAGTTTCGAGGAGTATTTCATAGCACGATGCAGACTCATGACTTAATGGGAAAAAGCAAAGCCCAAATCGTGTGATTCTAATGTTGCAAAAACATTCAGTTCACCTGAATGTCTGTCTCTGTCCAAATCAGCAGGATAGCTACAGGGGCTTAATCCTGCAGGACGAAGGTTACAGACAGTTTTTGTTCCTTCACTATACTTTCTGCAGCTACACATTGTGCAATTCAGTTTT